CAACAATACTACAGCGTGAATAAAAGTTACGCCTTCTTTCTTTGTGAACATTTGGGCGGCGTTATGCACATCGTGACGTAGACATGTGGGAACATGTGGGGGCGTGTTAGAATGAGGCGTTTTAGGTAGGCGTGGCTGACTCTTAACTTTTATAAAGAATATCTCTTTGGTTTTGAGACTTTAGTCTTTGCAACTTTACAGATCTTCTTTATGCACCAAGAGCTTGTAACACTCCAAAGAGAAAGGAAAAATTGAATTCGCATCATATGACCCCTTTTAAGAAATTTTCATTCAAGTTGATTAAACTTGACATTTTAAGGCACCATGAAAATTACTTTTTTTACATTGGAATAATATATATTATTTCAAATTTATTTACGTCTCACAAAGTTTTCTTACCTTTTCTTACCTGTTTATTTGATTTAAGTGAATTTTCAAACTTACCATAATAGAAAGATATATGAAATACAGCAAGTTTAATTAATACTAAAACTAATACTAAATGAATACTAATACCATATGAAAAGTATACTTTTTTTTTTTTTATCAAATAGTGTATTAGTAGATAGTTTTTTTGGCAGTTCATGAAATTAACATTTTCCTTAATCTTTTCTCTGCAGTAATCAGGGCCAAGGTGGTTGGAAAAAAAGAAGTGGATTCTGGGAATGATATTTATGGGAACCCTATCAAGCGGATCCAATATGAGATTAAGCAGGTCAAGGTGAGGGATGAATATGACAGCTGTTATTCAAATCTAACCTACAATGAAAATGTCTTGCAGTGAATAAAAGGATATTTTGTTGTCCTCTAACAGATGTTCAAAGGCCCGGATCGCCACATTGACGTGATCTTCACCGCGCCCTCGTCTGCAGTATGCGGTGTGACGAATTTGGACACTAACGGCAAGAAGGAGTACCTCATCTCAGGTAAAAGATTGTCATTTCACTACAGCTGTTGTTTTTGGTCAAATAAATGTACAGTCTAACCACACAATGCTATTGGTTACTGCCTTCACAGCAAAGCACTTGCCTGTTGGCACATGCTTCACTCAAGGCGATCCGTTTTCAGACAGGACAGAAGTTTACAAACCGTGACTTATTGATGTACAATGTGCTGAATTTACTGCTGGGTTTCAATACTCTTCTCTTCTCTCTAATGAACTTGCTGAGCAGGCAACTCTGAAGGGAAAAAACACAGAATATAAAAGAACGTCAAAAGATGAACACAGACAACTTCTGGTTTCCCCATCTCAGATAATTCCCAGCAGAGCCCAAATTACAGAGTTGACAAGGCAGAGGTCTGTGGAGGGTAGCAATTGCCTTTAAAGCCAAAGTTTTAGAGGAGGAGGGGAGGTAAAATAATGAGAGAGCTGATCCTGTAGTGCAGAGTAACTGCTGAGGTTGTGTTTTCAAGGCACACATTCCCTTCTCCATACTGAGTAGAAACTACCCAGGTTTCAGATTGTAAGCAGAGCAGACCTTCAGAAACCTTCGCTCTGGGCAAAAATAGAAACCATCTTGAGGTTGTTTATGTCATTGTATTTGCATGTTCCCTCCCATTTTGTGAAGTCCCAAATTGTGGTTAGCTACTCCTGTTCTCCACCATCAGGGTTCACAAGCTTTTGCATGTAGTGTTTTTCCCCAAATCTGTGCTTTGACTCTGCAGTGACCTCCTTTATGTGGTTCAGTCATAATACAGAACAATAGATGACTAACAGAAGGGTTCGGTTTATAAACGTGGCGACTTGTTATCGTGTTCTCGTGTGCTGTTATTTTGTCTGTTGGACCACGCTATGCCCGTGACTATCAGATGTTCACAGACGGTTCAGATTGTTTTGTCTGCACATTGTGTTTCCAGGCAAGGCGGAGGCCAACGGCAAGATGCACGTGATTCTGTGTGATCTCATCATGCCCTGGGAATCCATGAGTGCCACCCAGAAGAAGAGCCTCAGTCAGCGCTACCAGATGGGGTGTGACTGCAAGGCGAGTATTGTATATTTCTCCTGTGGACACATAATAATCATTACTGTGGAACATGCTGTCAACCTGGGTTGTGCACAATTCAGAATTTTAAGAATGGTCCATCTATCTATCTATCTATCTATCTATCATGCATCCATTTATCCATCCATGCATCTATCTGTCTGTCTATCTATCTATCTATCTATCTATCTATCTATCTATCCATCCATCCATCTATTCATACTTCTATCAATGCATTCGTCTATCTATCTATCTATCTATCCAATCAGGTGTCTTTCTTTCTTTCTTTCCATCCATCCATCCATCCATCCATCCATCCATCCATCCATCAGGCCTATAAACCTTAAACTCTTCATAAAGTGCATAACGTGTGGAATTAAACACACATTGTTTTTGCATTTGAAAAGGTACATCTTTTGGTTTGGTACTTGTAGAACATTTTGCTGCATTTTTAATTGTTAACAAACTATTTGCACTATTTATACTACTAAATTGTGTTCAATAGAAGTATTCAAAAACACACTTATAGAGACTTTGGGATGGACTGTTTTGATTTGAGTCAGTAAGCATCTACCTAGCTAATATTTAATAATAAAAAATACAGGTATCATTATCACACCAAATTAACAAACACTGTTTTTGCTGCACCCAGATCACACGCTGTGCGACCTTCCCATGCGAGATCAGCGCCCCAGAGGAGTGTCTGTGGACAGATTGGGTGACGGAGAAGATAATTCACGGGCGCCAGTCGGACCACTACGCCTGCATCAAGAGAGGAGACGGCTCCTGCGCCTGGTACCGTGGAGTCGCGCCACCCAAGAAAGAATTTCTGGATGTGGAAGACCCTTAAAGTATCTCTCGCCCTCTCCATCACCAAATCTGAGATTCTTACAGATATCATAGATAAGGTGTAAGTTAATATCGACATAAAGACAAAACTCTACTAAATTAAAATTGAAACGTCTTAAGGCTAGATTAGTGTACAGTCTTCATTAGATATCGCAACAAGAGACAGAATGGAGCGAAAGTAATGACCACACCTAAGGCTGGCACCCAGAAAACACTCCCCATCGTGTGAGGGACGATCTTTAAAACGAGAGCACTTTCTGCCCCCCAAAACAGCACGTAGATTTCTCTCTGCATAAAGACTGAATGATCTCTACAATCTCCCAAAACTGCAGTCTCTCTGCTCATTTCGCTTTTTCAGTTTCTAGTATTCTGGCCTAAACCCACACGGGGTGGTATTGAAAGTATTACTTTTGAAGGTAGTGTAATTTCCCAAAGCCATGCCAATTGGTCCACTCAGATAAATGGTGAGGCAGGACTTCCCAGATAGTTCAAAGATGTGCGGGGACCTGGAAAGAACTTAAGACAGTTGGGATTTGGGGGGAAAAAAAGGAAAATTAAAGACCAAAGTCAATGTCGCTAGGCATTAATTTGTGACAGAAACAAAATTGTGCTGCTGACCAAATTTCAGAATGTTGAACTGTTGTATATGAAGCTGTTCTTCATTTCATTTCCACTATTTTTCATCATTGCTTCATGGATTATCCTTCGCATATACGAAAAATGAAGGAATAACAATGCAGGTATCTATTATTCTGACGACAGTTCATAATTAGTTATAAAGTCCTCTCTAATTCAATTTTTTATGCACATTTACGAATCGAACATCCCTAATTTGTTTTGTCAGTATGTCTGTTTACCTTTCTGAACCTTGTCTCAAACGCCGAGTCCAATTTATGCATTTTTTCCTCCGTTAATAGTTCAGTGATGATACTATTTGAACTTGTTGCACTTTTTAAAGACAAAACCAAGAGGACCGTCTCCTCTTTTTTTGTAATTCTCATTTTCAATGCTTTTGTTATTGATTTGCAAATGCTTTATCTTTAAGAATTACAGCATCAGTTATCTAAGGTCCTAGTGAGCTGTTTTATCTTCCGTATTGTTCTTATTAGATTATGTACCCAAAGAGGTATGTAAGACTTTAGTTGCCATGGTAATGGGAAGACCCTTCGTTTTGCCCTAGAGTAAAACAAGGCTGATTGGATTGGCTATAAAGACACAGGCCTATAGCATGCACTGAGAAAGAGGAAACAAAGAGCGAGGTTCCTTCCTCCTGTGATGTCAATAAACTCAGGAGTTTACTGGCAGCTTGAGAGGAAGGCACAGAGTTGGGTTGTTGCAGCTGTCCCCTGATTGGGCGTTGCCAAGTCATGTGATTGACTGAGGGTGAGGCATTAGAATACTAGTTGCTAGGCGCTTCGTCAGGGTGAACCATGTGGCCCGATGTGGTCATAGTGATTGAGAGAAAGAGGGAGAAGACAGACTGAGGTTGAACTGACGAAAGCAACAATAACAGTGTTGATTGATTTGAACGATATAATGCATCACAATCATTGTATAAAATTAACACCAAAATCATTTGTGTCGACAAAGCGAGCATTCTTATGGGTAATCGTTCGATTCATGCCTTTCTATTTTGGCTCTCAGTGTTCCAGCATAAATGTACGAAGCTTTTTTTTTCTTTTGCTTAAGTGTGATTTAAATTAAGATTTTTGTTTCAATATCCTCACATCTTTCTTCATACCATAAATGTTGTCATAAACGAGCTTGAACTCTTACAAATAGTCTATATAAAGCTACAAGGTTAATGTTTAATATGCATCGAGCTATAACTACTTAAACTGCTTTGTATGAATTATTGAACTTTAATGGCGTAAGTTAAATGATTTTGTTCCACGTTTCTACTTTTTTAATGTGTTATTACCTTTGATTTATATGATCATTGTGTTATTTTTACCAGTCTTTGTCTTTCTCTTTTATGATTTGCTGAAAAGAGCAGGAATGTGAGACCTAGTGTCTGAACCACATGATAAAAGTTGTGGTAGAAGAACCAGACTATGCATGTCTTTGATGCTTCGTGTAATTCCCATGTGGACGTTCACTTGACGGATAAATATACAGTATTACCAAATAAAACATTAAACTACATCGGCTCGTCCCATTAGTATTTTATATGTATATTTCTGCAAGTAGTCTTCTGTGTATATTTCAGTATATATATATATATACATACACACACACATACATTAATGCATTCATTTATTTCCGATTGCCCATAAAAAGTCTCTGGAGGCTTTGTAGTATATTTTATCCCATCAGTGTGAATATTTGACAGAAGTGCTGCATATTTACCTTTGCAAAACTTTCATGATCAGATACTGCCCTCATGTGGCAGGAATGAATATCGAGTGCACAGTTGTAGATAAAATAAACACAAGGTCCACTTTGGTTCAACTCCCATGAGTTATTATCACAGACCAGGGGTTTATTTCAACAGCTGTCTGTTTATTTCATCATCTTGTAATGATGAAAACAAGTACATAACTCAGACAGTTCACAGTGAGGGCAGGCTATGGACCCAACGAGCGCCATGAATGTTTTTTTAAGACACACTCGGTAACTGTGAAATACTCTTTCAAACTGAGGTTTATTAGACTGTACTTTCCTGAAGTTTATGCTTGTAACTGGTATTTTAAATGTAAACACTTATGATCTGACTGTATATTCCTAAATGTCTGACTTAAAATCTGATAAAATTATTTCACTGATGGCTTTAGAGGCTATTAAAGCATTAAACCTTTAAAATAAACTCTTCTAATTATATGTGGTAAATGACGGTGTTTGGCATCAGAGGGAAACAGTTCTCAGACTTTTCAATCTGTTCCCGATTATTCAGGGTAGATCATATACAACAGGAACGGATGACAGGGCAACTGGACCAGGTTTATCCAATGTCTATAAATTCTCTGTTAAATGTATTTTTACAGAGAATTTTGATTCACAAATCAAAATGATTCTTTGCAGCAGTCAGGGCCAAATGTAAAAAACTATTCATAAATTATGCTTTAGTGCATAAAAACCTTCTTTCTGGGTTATGAAAAAAAAACTCAAATCTAAAAGCTTCTTTTTAGCAACTTCTTTAGCAAAAAATTGTCAAAAAGAGCTTCTAATTGGCCGATGACTCGTGCATCCAGTCTGTGATTCGCCAGCACTCACAGTCCCTTGTTGAAGTAGACATAACTGACAATGTCCCCGTACTGAGAAATTATGGACTCCCTGAGCTCAGGTTCCAGTTTGGATACAGCCATAGAACTGCAAATCAAAGTGCGAATGATTGATTAGTTTGGTATGGCTCAGAGACCACAGTTATCATGAAAACATCTGAATGAAGCATTTTAAAGAGAGATAATGGAAGAAGCAGCTGCAAAAAGTTGCATGAATAACATTAATGCCCTTATCAAAATATGCCATATTTGCTGTATTCACTACTGGTTATTAAAAGATTAGTTCACCTAAAAATGAAGATTAGCCTGTTATTTACTCACCCTCAAGCCATTCTAGGTGTATACGACTTTCTTCTTTCAGACGAATCCAATCAGAGTTATATAAAAAATTGTCCTGGCACTGCTAAGCTCTATCATTGCAGTGGGCAGGTGTTTCTGTTCAACAGTCCAAAACACGTTAAATAAACTGCGCGCATCCATAATAAAAACGTGCCTCACACGGCTCAGGGGGGGTGAATAAAGGCCTCCTGTAGCGAATCCATGCGTTTTTGTAAGAAAAATATCCATATTTCAAACATAATAAACACTTTTCTATCACTTCCGCTATCTGTCATACGCGGAAGCAGTTCTCGAGGGTGAGTAAAACACAGGCTAATTTTCATTTTTGGGTGAACTAACCCTTTAAAACTGTAGATGTGTATGTTTCTTCATTAAAACAAATTTGGAGAATTTTTGCTCTGCATCAATTGTTCACCAGTGGATCCTCTGCAGTGAATGGGTGCCGTAAGAATGAGAGTTCAAACAGCTGATAAAAAAAATCACAATAATCCACAACAGACTCCAGTCTATTAATTAATATCTTGTGAAGTGACAGTTTGAAGTTAAACATCTCTTAATGATGGATTTGGTTTTTACAAACGTGTGGATTTCACTTCCCAAGATGTTAACTAATGAAATGGAGTGAAATGGATTATTGTGATGTTTTTATCAGCTGTTTGAACTCTCATTCTGACGGCACCCATTCACTGCAGAGGATCCATTGGTGAATAAGTGATGTAATGCTAATTTTCAATGAAGAAACCAACTTATCTACATCTTGAACAGCCTGAGGGTGAGTACATTTTCTGCACATTTTCATTTTTGAGTGAACTATTCCTTTGAAGAGATACTATCCCTTAAAAAAAAAAAAAAAGATATTGAATGGCATTTACAATATATGCAATCTTTACCATCTCTGAGGAAACAGTGAACATGCTGCAGGCACCATGAAGATCAGACTGTGAAACAGAGAAGGGCATGTTGTCATTTCTTCTACTGAAACAAGATCTCATATATTTGGCATATCAATCCTTGCTATTTTCATAATAAGAAATGTGATCACTTACAATACGCCAACCATCATGACTTGCAGTGGCCCATGAAGAAATGTGATTTTCTGCAACAGATTGGAAGAAACAAACAAATGCAAATATGTTTAATATAAAATCATACACATACAGCAAGGGGTTTATAGCCTTTACAGACACAGGAATCCCAATATAATATAATGAACAATAAAAAGTAAGATTATCTTTGTAAGACTTTTAATAATTGTAATTGAAAACATTATTATGCTACACAAAGCATGTTAAACCATTAGCTAAAATTCATTCAAATAGTTCAAAGCATTTGAAACCTGTATGCATTGATGATAACAGACTGTTATATGAGAATGACTCAACAGATGTCAGCTTTGAGGTCTGAGAGAGAGTGAATTTATAACAGAAACACCTGTAGATCATAAACTGGCTATTTTATCACTTCTCCTTTCCATTGCGTGCTCCTTGGATGCAAAATAAACATCATGCTCACCTGCATGAATCTGTATTTTTCAAGCCTCTGCATAATAATGGGGAGTATGACTGGAAAGAACAAAGAAAGCAGATCAGGATTCAGCATTGACTGGTGGGTGAAGTGAGGGCTGCTTTATTTTTGCACTGAGATCCGATAACTCCGGCCAAACTCTTTGCACTTACTCATGCCTGGCGCTGCCATGGTAACTCGAGAGATGACCACTTGTGTGATGCCCTTGACAGCTGCTTTCTATGACAAACACAGACAGTATAACTTGAACAGAACAGAGAATGTTTATAGTGTAAAAAGGCATCTTATCCTTAAACTGATTATTTTAAGCACTAAACGCATTAAGATCTACTGTATTTAAACTAATGGTTTTGCTCTTAAGTTTACATACTCGGGTATATATGAAATGTAAATTACAATAAATTGTTATATCAATACTAGGTATCTTAGATACAATATAAGATATACAAAGATGTCGTAAAAATTTACGGTACGTAGGTGTTTAATTTCTGTTATTAATTTGTCATGTGGAATATAAGCAGTTTCTTCAGGGCAGTACTAAATAAAGAATAAAATGTTTTATGATATCATTTTCTAAACTGATACACATTTTACAGATTTTGCAAGGAGAATGTAAACTTCAGAGCAGAGCTGTAACTAGTTTCATCAGGTGAGATAAATGCTCCTCACCCTTGAGTGGCCCAGTATTTTTCCATCTTCATCCGTCACAGCAATGCCGTTCAAAATCTCCCTGTATAAGAAAGAATAAACCTGAATATACTAATATCTAGACATGTGAACCTATTGAGTAAGACCTGCCAAAATAAAAGCTGGTAGGAAACATAAGAGGTCTCACTGTTGTCTCATCATTGGAATGTTCACACAGTTAGCCGCGGCCACAGCTGCGAACGGCACCCAGCGTGCCACCAGTGGAGGAGCTTTCTGAGGAGACAAAGGTTAAAGATGCTAAATAACACATGGGTGATGTATAACCACTGCAGATATGACTGGCAAACTGAACTGATGACGGGAAAAAAAAGAGAAGACTGACTTATTTTAACTTTAATTTTCATACAGATCTACTGTAATAATTATGTATGCATCCAAGTAAATATATA